GAGATCACAAAGCTTTTTGACATCTCTTGCAACCATTTATGAAGATGTTATTCAACTTACTTTAAAAATTCAAACAAGTGATCTTATATTCAAAGAGATTACACAATACTCTCTAGATCTCATCTCTAGAGCAAAAAGGAAAAAGGAAAGAGGACACAGGAAGCCACCAGGGCATTCCCTTTCTTAATAGCACAAACATCTTCCAAATCTTTTCCAATCACATGATTCTGTTCATTCACAAATTCATTCAACAAATGCTTACTGATAGGCTATTATGAGCCAGGTCCTGTGGACGAGAAGGTGAGAAGACACAGTCTTTGCTTTCATGGTGTTTACAGTCTAACAGTAGGAACAGACGTGCAAAAAAATTACAATACAATACAATAAAGTGCTTCCACAGAGGTATTTACAAAGTACAGTGGGAACTTGGAGGAGGGAAAAAGAGCATCTGCCTGTAGAAACAGGGGACAACATCACAGAGGAGGTAGCCATCGAGCTGACATGATCAGGAATTTGCCATGTAGAAGGTAAAGGTTGTCTCAGGCAAAGGAACAAAAGGTGCAAAGACACGGAGGCCCAAGGGACGCTGCAAAAGAGCAAGTAACAGTTTTTCTTGAGCCGAAGGCACAATGGGGAGAATGGCGGAATGAGGCTAGACAGGTAGGCGGAAACCAGGTCACGGAGAGCCTTTGACCATTCTTCCATTAGCTCGGCAAACAGGTAGTGAGGGCTTACTATGTGCCAGGCCCTGGGCTAAGTACTGGGGTACAACAGGGAACAAAACAGACACGGCCTTGCTCTTGTAGAGCTTACATTCTAGTAGAGAGAGAGACAAAAAGTCAACAAATAAATAAATACAGACTTAGAAAATTTCTACAAAGGAAATGACCAGTGTCCTGAGGCAGAAAAAAAGTGTTATGGGGTAGGGAGAAGTTAGGGTTATCAGCAGAGGCCTCTTGGAAGTGGCATAAAGACACCTGCAAGGAAAATGACAACAGTATGCTCCAATGGGAGCACTCTACGCACTAGGCACTGAGCTAAACACTTTATAAATGGTATCTCACTGAATCCTCACAACAACTCTATGAGGTAGGTATTATTATTCCTATTTCACTGAGGAGGAACAGGCTCAGAAATAAAGCAACCCGACAAGTCACACAGACAGCAAAAAACCAGGGTTCTAACACAGGTTCTCCTAATTCCAAAGTGCTTGCTCTTAAAACTTACTCTAAACTGCATACAAACGTTAAGTGGGGACTTTTGAGCAAGGAAATGATATGGTCACAATTGTTTTGAGAATCAATCTGATGACCACACTGGGGAGAGCAGAGGGAGGGGGAAGGAACAGTGGGGACGGCAGAAGCACAGGGTAGCCACTGAAAGCCCAGAGAGGAAGGGGGGTGTACACCACGCCAGTGGCTGTGCAATGGAGAAGAGATGGCCAGATGAGCTGTGAGGTCACAACAGCACTTTTCACAGATGGGATGTGGCAAGCAAACAAAGGGGATGACCACTGGACTTCTGCCTTGGGCAACCAGAGAAGATGGTTTGCTTTTACCCAGGCTGGGGAATGCAAGGTGGTGCTGGGTTTTATGGGGGAGATGGTGAATGTAATTTTGGACAAGCTGTCCTATGAGTATATTGTGAACACCCTGGATTTATGGGATAGTCTCCAGAGGATACCATGTAATGGCTTTCATACCTCGTTCTCCACCTGAGCAAAGTCTATTTTTTTAAAAAATCAAAATTTTGTAGTGTGTACACTGTGTTTTTGCTTTTACAAAGCTGTCTATAAAAGTATACGTTATCTTGGCTGGACTGTTTGTAAAAACAATGTATGATCACTATGGTGAAGTTATCATAAGCCTAATAAATGAAGAATCATGGACTTGCGGGAAGAGAAAAAAAACCTTTGGGATCTGTTCTAACTAGTTAGGCTAGCATTAAAAAAGGAATCAACACTAACTCCCTACCCCTATTAGAACTGGAGATCATCTGATGGGCCAGAGAAGTGCCCTCTGCTAACCGTCCTCCCAGCGTCTGCAGCTTCCCTGTGTATCCACCAGAAGGGCTGTGCCAAGGAAATTGGTGGCCTAAGGCCCAAACATCAAAGGTGAATGTAAATCAGGAATTCCAAGAAGTATCCATGTGGTTTGGCTTAAAGGTCCAGAAGTGTAGCAGCCCACACCTGGGCAGTCACAGTGCTTTGATGACTGCCCTCTTCTCTCCCTTTCCAGGAACTGGGAGGGAGCAGAGTCGAGCAGTACAGGTGATAGGGATGTGAAACTGATCACATCCTGGACCACATCATTCCAGGTCCAATTTTAAAAACTCAAAAGTTAATAAGCACATAATAAGTAAATACACATTATTTCCACTGTTTTGCAAAATTTGTTTTAATTTGCTTGTAACTACTCCCGCCCTTCCTTGGTATCAGATAAACTTAGGTATTTTTTTTTTATTTTAAAATCCATTTAATAATGTAATGCAAGCTTTAGTAATTAGCTGTCAAGAAATGTGAACAGTAAGGAAAGTTACGCTCATGAGTTTCAACGGAAACTCTCATCAGTCAGGTACTAACATGATGAGGTATTACAATCTGGTTCATTAAGCAACTCTGCCGCCTCTCCCGGCACCTGTTAACTTAGTTAGCCAGTGGACATTAGAAAAAACAATAGACATGGACTTCTTTTAACACCTGAAAGGTACTTGTATATCTGATTCATGCCAAAGGGGAGAAAAACCTTGTTTTTATACAATTACCAAAAGTACTGGTCACAAGCAAGGAAAAAAAACAAAAAAACATACACATGCTAGATGGCAATCTAGAATTCTGGGGAAAGCACAGTTCTCACATGTCTGGAAGCACACTGCAAATGAACACAGTGTACTCTACCACTCAATTTCAATCCGAGGCCCAGGGAGCAAAGGTGAACGGATCTCAGGAAGACTAATGCAGGGCTATTGTGTGTGTTCTTTAACAGAAACAATTCCAATCAGTCTGTGAATATAATCATTTATTCATCTTTACAGTGATGATGGAAGAATGTACAGGTGTCCTCTTTCAATAAAGTATAAAAAAATCTGTTTATATACAGTGAAGTCACAATATTTTTTAATTGGGAAATTTATTTGGTACTCCTGATCTGTTCATATTAAAACTGGAGGGGAAACAAACATTTCACGTAAGTGCTACATTTCCAGTAGATTGCACCTGGCATCAAAAGCTCAGCTTCATCTTAAGGGTCTTGCTTGATATTACAAAAGACTAATTTTAAGTCCTAGGACTCAAAATAAACATCATTTTTTGAATAATAGATATATACATCAAAAATACATCTAAAAAGGCATTGGTTAGTGCTATTAAAAAGCTCTATGTGTGTGCTCGGGTACATTGTTTTCTTACAGGCAAAACCCAGTGAAAACGTTTTTGTCCAATTTCTAAGAATTTGCTCTTGGGGAAAGTCAGTCGAAAGTTACCTGTAAGGGAAAAAAACAAACTTAAGTGATTCAATATTTTGTCAGGTGAGAGCTCAGCAAAACTTGCAAACGAAGTTAGAAATAAATTACCACTTAGTTACAGCACTTTGCAAATAAAAAGTACTCAACATATCTCTTTATTGTTTCACATTTTTATTTTGATAATAACCTTTATTACTTAAAGGTTATTCAATATTAAATACTTCATTTTCAAAGAAATCATGTACTCTTTTGTATGTTTATGCAAATATTTTCTCTTTTAAATCAGAATTCAAAACAGAAAACATAATAGATAACAGCCAAATCCAAACATATTTTGCAGAAATTTCTACTCACAACGGCTTATTCTACTTTGCAATGATTCATTGTACTATAAAATATTTAGAGATGACAGATACACACCAAGTCTTCTTATTGTCTAACTGGGTGAAACGGGTACTGTGCAATTGCAACTAAACCATTCATGTCTGATTCAATACTTCATTTATCTTTGTTCTTTAGTTACCTTTTACAATCACTATAGCCTGGACACTTCTCTGAGACTATAAAATGTAACACAGTAAACCTCCATCTGATATTTAACTAAGGTCCACCTTGCTAATAAGGAACATTAGAAAGAGCTGCCACGGGATGAGTGGGAGGGCACTGTTCACTCGAAGATTCTAGTTCCATCTTTTAGGAACCACCGGATGCTGGCCATGTCCCTCCCTTTGACAAGCTATGCCCTACCTATGCCACAGGTTATTACAGAGATCTAGTGAAGGGGCCATGCTCCTGTTTATTAAGCATTTTAGGTGCATATAGAGCTACATGAAAGAGTTTAGGTAAATGTAATTTGGTGACGTCTAATCTTTTAAATTTACTTTTGGTCTTCCACAATCCATAAATCTAATGACCTGACCCAATAATTTCAGTCTCAAATTTATATCATGACAAAAATAATAATCTTTCCCTACTTAATGCACCAGAATAATGGCTACTTTTACAGAACTCACTAAAACTCACTCAACGGTAATTACTTCTACTGCTATGCACATCTGTGCGAGGCCATGAGCAGTCACCAGCTTCCACATTAGGAAAGTGCCTGGGGCCCACAGCACAGCGTACACAGATTCAGGTGCTGCTCTGATACCCATCCGACAAGTACCCTGCAAAGGAAGCCTGGGCCTAGTCAGGGCTCAATGAGGTACCCTACTTATCCCAAACTCATTTCTCCAGGAAAGCTGAAGGCAAAACAAAAAGCGAACAAGCTCCGACAGAAAAGGAGGGCTCTGAGACCGAGAGGCCATTCGGCCGCAACGGCACAGACGCTGGCAGAGGCGCGGGGCCCACAGTCCCTCCACGCATCAGCGACAGCAGGGCTGCAGCCTCACACGAAAGAAACGACGTCAGGCTTCCCTCTGGAGGACTCGCACCCACTAAGGACACTCACCCAGGTCCACACAGCACACCTTTGTCAGCTTAGAAAACAAAACCCAGAGTGTCAGCAGCCGCTTCCCATCCTCAGGAAAGGGGGGGAAAAAGATTTAAAAAAGAACTGAACTGGATTCAAATGGTTCTGAACAGTCAGAAAACTGTGTGACCCAAAGTGTTGCTGATCTAAGACATTATATTGATTTTGGTAACAGGTGGCACGAACTGACCCTGAATTAAGAAAAAAGCAGGCTGGCGCCGCAGCTCACTAGGCTAATCCTCTGCCTTGCAGCGCCGGTACACTTGGTTCTAGTCCCGGTCGGGGCGCCGGATTCTGTCCCGGTTGCCCCTCTTCCACGCCAGCTCTCTGCTGTGGCCAGGGAGTACAGTGGAGGATGGCCCAAGTGCTTGGGCCCTGCACCCCATGGGATACCAGGATAAGTACATGGCTCCTCCATCGGATCAGCGCGGTGCACCGGCCGCAGCGGCCATTGGAGGGTGAACCAATGGCAAAAGGAAGACCTTTCTCTCTGTCTCTCTTTCACTATCCACTCTGCCTGTCCAAAAAAAAAAAAGAAAGAAAGAAAAAAGAAAAAAGAAAGAAAGAGGCAGTCGTAGGAAGGTAAGACTGTGTTTCCAGTATTGAACTCCCCTGCCACACTGCACACCCTTCTCTACTGAATGGGAATCCTTCTACTCACTTGCCTGACAAGCCCAAGTCATCTTGGCCACTCTTGCACCCACTCACCTGGCCAAGTCGATTTTATTTCCAAACACGGATCTGCCCTTTCCCTCTTCTCTTCCCTCACACGCTGCCAGCACCCTCATGAAGCCACCACCATTTCTTGTTGGAACCACAAAACCCCCCAAGTGGATTTGGAGTCCAGGCTTCCCTACTCCATGCAGCAGCCACAGAGATCCCGTAAATAAGCAAACCTGTTCATGCTACTGACCCTTTAGTGGATTCCCACAGGGTTTAATGATCACACTCAATGTCTTTTATAACCCACAGGCACCGTGACTAGGAATGTCTTTCACACATTCCCCAACCCTCCCCAGAGTTACTGCATTCCAACCACATTGACTTTTCATTGCTGTTCCATAAAGAAACGAGGCTTCTGCTTTCTGTTCTTTCAGGACTTTCTACCCCACCTCCCCCTGGCTCACTCCTACCCATCCTTCAGGGTCAGTATAAAGGCACTTATTCAGACAGGGCTGTGGACCCTTCACATCATGTGAGCTTCCCCAGCACCCCACCACCACCACCACCTTTGGCTTCAAGGAAACAAATAAATCAGCACAGCTGGGGTGGCAGAAAGCAAGACAAGGGCTGCCCAAACAAAACAGGATGGGAGCTGGGAAGCAAAGTGTGGCCTCTGAGGTTTTTGTGCCATCATCTACAGAACACACATCCAATTGTGTGTCATCACCTACAGAGGACGTATGTCCACTGGAACAGAGCCCAGGAACCTCTTATGTGTGCTCAGTAGAAAACCAAATTTCCTTTTTTTTAGGGTTGATTATGTCCTTATTCTGCATACATCAAGTCTGCTAGAGAGAACTTAGAAAGAGGGAGATTTCGCCTACTTTGCAGCACGATTTTAAAGAAAGGACAAAGTACTCTAGGAGGCCAGTACTGCAGAGATGAGCGCTGCTGCCACATTCCGCAGCCATGATTCCTACCTGGGCAGAGCCCTTCTCATCTTTCTCTGCTTTTCTCCAATGATGCCTTGGAGATTTTCCACCTGGCTTTAACCAAGGAGGCAGATCCCTCATGGGTGACTTCAGGGATGTGAATGCCCTTACGTAAGAAGAACAAGGGACACAGTAACTTGTATGTTCCTTAAGCACAGAGAAGAGGGCCAAACAGCAGCACAAGCAGTAACCTAAGCAAAGCAGCATTCCAGCTCACTGCCCGGGGGCTACAAAGGCTACTGGGAAACAAAACAGCTGAAGTCCCACATGTCTCGTCTATGCTCATGCAGGTACCTGATCATTTTCTTAGGCTTCATCTGCACTGTCCATTTCAATATCCATCTCTTCTGTGTCCGCAGCCCGGGACAAGATGTCTGCCATCAGTGCTTCTTCCAGCTTCTTGCGTACTTGTTGCACTCGCTCTTCCTGTTTCCTTTTCAAATCGAAAAAAAGAGAAAGACGGCAAATTTGGCAAGCAGTGAAAACAGAATCGGATACAAAAGTACATCCTTACTTCAAAATTATTCAATTCCTGAAAACTGAATACATTTAACTCCTTAGTCTTTGCAGAAGTTGCCTGCACACTCACAAACCAGATCACACCTACGAGCCTTGCCAAAGAGGAATGTTCCCTCATCTCAATGAGACTTCTAGAGGCAGACTCACATGAGGGACTTGCTATTCAATTTCAATGTTATCAAGCAAATGAAACTTCGACTTTATTCCTATAAAAGATAATTAGAAAGGACCTGGAAACAGGGATATAAGAGGGAGTTAACAAGGAAAGAAAGGCAGGCAGCTGGTTAGATGAAGCACTGAGAAAGAACGAGGAAGCAAAGGCAAGATAAACTGAGATTTGCTTGGTAATTCTATATCTGTGTGAGTGGAGAGCTCTCCCCTGGATTCCTGGATCTGTAAGAAACAAGTCAGTACCAAGGAGCCAAGAACAACAATCCTGGGGCCGGTGCTATGGCACGGTGGGTTAAAGCCCTGGTCTGCAGGGCCAGCATCCCATAAGAGTTCTGGTTCCAGTCCCAGATGCTCCATTTCTGATCCACCTCTCTGCTAATGCACTTAGGAAAGCAGAGGAGGATGGCCCAAGTCCTAGGGCCCCTGCACCTATGTGGGAGACCTGGAAGAAGCTCCTGGTTCCAGATCGGCTCAGCTCTGGCCGTTGCAGCCACTTGAGCAGTGAACCAGCAGATGCAAGACCTCTCTCTGTGTCTCTACCTATCTCTGTAACTCTTTCAAATAAATAAATAAATAAATCTTTAAAAAAAAAAAAAAAGACCAACAATCCTGTTTACCATGCACAAAGCCTGACAAGTATCGCATCAAATATAGGAGCTGGGAGGTTAATTACATGCAATGAGGGACAGGCATTTGGCCTAGCAATTAAGATGCCACTTGGGATGCCTGTACCCCATATCCAGAGTGCCTGGGTTTGAGTCCTGGCTCTGCTCATGATTCCAGCTTTCTGTCAGTGTACACCCTGAAAGGCAGCAGGGGACAGTTCAAGTACTTAGGTTCCTGTCACCCATGTGGGAAACTTGGGTTGAGTTTTGAGCTCCTGACTTTGACCTGGCTATTGTGGGCATCTGATAAGTAAACCAGTGGGTAGGAACTCTTACATGTGCATGCCATCTCTTTCTCTCTCTCTCTCTCTCCCTCTCTCTGTCTTTCCTTCTCTCTCTCTCTCTCTCTCTCTCTCTCTCTGTGTGTGTGTGTGTGTGTGTGTGTGTATCTGCCTCTCTGCCTCTCAAATAATAAAGTAAAATAATTATTTAAAAAGATCTGTTTCTTTGAAAGTCAGAGTTAGAGAGATGGAGAGAGAGATCGACCTTCCATCTGCAGGTTCAGTTTCCCAAATGGCCGCAATGGCCAGGACTGAGCCAGACCATAGTCAAGATCCACGAGCTTCATCCAGTCTCCTTCATGAGTAGTGGGGGTCCAAGCACTTGGGCCATCTTCCACTGCTTTCCCAGGGCATTAGCAGGGAGCTGGATCAGAAGTGAACAGAAGGAACACAAACTGGTGCCCATAGGTAATGACAGCATTGTAGGTAGCAGGTTTACCTGCCATGCCACAATGGTGGTCCCTAAAATGATTGTTTTCAAAAGGCCATGCCATGAGTCTCTGTAGGTTTGTGAATGCAAAGGTACCTCAAAGGCAAGAATTAGTAATTCCAACTTGTAAAAATGGCTCTGGGGCTGGCGTTGTGGCTTAGCGGGTAAAGCTGCCACCTGCAGTGCCCGGCATCCCATATGGGTGCCGATTCTAGTCCTGGCTGCCCCACTTCCAATCCAGCTCTTTGCTATGACCTGGGAGAGCAGTAGAAGATGGGCCAAGCCCTTGGGCCCCTGCAACCACGTGGCAGACCAGGAAGAAACTCCCAGCTTCAGATCAACCCATCTCCAGCCGTTGTGGCCAACTGGGGAGTGAACCAGCAGATGGAAGACCTCTCTCTCTCCCTCTCTCTGTATGTAACTCTACTTCTCAAATAAATAAATAAATCCTTTTAAAAAAAAATGACTCTGAGCTAACAGCTGGAGAGCAAAGCACAGGCAGAAAGGCTTGGTATGCACCTAATCTTTTTGTTTTTTTAAAAAGACTTATTTATTTATTGGAAAGGCAGAATTAGAGAGAGAGAGAAAGGGAGAGACAGAGTGATCTTCCATCTGTTCACTTCCCAAATGGTGACAATGGCTAGAGCTGAGTTAATCTGAAGTCAGAAGCTTCTTTTGGGTCTCCCATGTGGGTGTAGGGACCCAAGCACTAGGTCTACCCTCTGCTGCCTTCCCAGGCACATTAGCAGGTAGCTGGATGGGAAGTGGAGCAGCTGGGACAAGAGTTAGCATCCATATGGGAATACAGTTCTGCAGGCAGCGGGTGGCTTTACTGGCTACCCCACATCAGATCTTTAAAAAGCAGAAAAAAGCGCTCCCCAAGAAGACAGGAGAGAAACTCCTAACACATGTCTAGCAAGCCAGGCATACTCAAAATAAATTTAAATCGAGAACCAAGTAAAGGGGCGAAATTCAAGAAACATAAGAGAAAAGATTGGTAAGTAAAGGTCCCAGCGACAAGAAGAAAGGGAGAAGCAAAGGTCCAAGATTAGCCTTGCACTGAAAATGAGACAAGCACACGTTGCAGCCAGAAGATAGATGTGAGAATGCATGAGCAGTGGGAGGTGAAGCAGACAAAGGCAAGTAAGAGACATAGCAAGAAATACTGAGGGCTCTACTAGCAGTGGGCAGGGAGGATGATCTCTGTGTAAATAATTGAGGATGGCAGACTGCAGCACTGCTCAAACCTGGGACGGTAGCAAAGTCAAGAAGCAAAGGCACCAAGGATTCTATCAGAAGCAACTCTTGGGACACAGAACCAGCTGCAAAGTTCCCCACACTCTACTGTAGACCACATTTCTTTTACTAGAACAGGACTAGGTCCAAGGCAGTAAAGGAAACATACACTGTGTAGTCAAAAAACTTCAGAAGTCTTTATTAAAATCCAAAGGCAGCACAAAAAGCTAGATTTCCACTTTTTAAATGAGTTTTCCAAAACTAAGCTCTGCAGCCTCTGTTGTATTAAAAGAAATCAGCTAACAGGTTTTTCTGTAATGCAGCAGGGTCAAGAGCACATTTGTTTCCTACAGAGTTAGTGCTGCCTCTGGTTCAGCGATTCAAAGCTCAGGACAAATGGAGCACCAGTCTCACTGGAGGTCTCTCCTGGCAGCAGTGTACAGCACTCTGCACAGCTGCCCTGTAGGAGACATGGAAGATGGAGCAAATGATCCCTGTGGGTTGGAAAATGTACTTAAACTCTTAAGTTTCTTTACTTATTTAACAACTGCTGACATTAAAGTAATTGTCCCCTGTGGAAGGCTGATTTCTAAGATGGACTAAGAGTCTCTCTTCTTACCTGCATCTACATCTCGTACATAATTCCCTCCCCTTAAGGGTGTGCGTCAGTTGTGACTATGATGGGATGGCACTCCATGATTAGATTACTAATAAACTGACCTTGGGTTACTCCAAAAGAAAGATTACTATGATGTGCCTAACCTAATAACAGCCCCTAAAGGGTATTCTTGAAAAAGCATGGAAGGGCATAAGGGAGGGTCACAGGGCAAGGGACTGCAGGCACATCTATGTGCTAGAAGCTGCCCCCACCTCTTAACCAACAAAAGAACAAAGGCCTTAGCCCCAAGAACCATTCTGCAACACCCATATGAGCTGCAATGAGAACCCCAAGTTCCAGGAGAGTACACAGTCCAGCCAGTACTTTGATGTCGGCTTTGCCAAGACCCTGAGCAGAGAACCCAGGCACGCCTGGCCCAGACTACTGCCCACTAAAGCATGCACTAATTAGTGAGTGCTTCTTCAACAAAACTATCGGAAAAGAAATAAACCCATAGATAAAACTATCATCAAATTCCTGTACTGAAAAAACATACTCAATGTTGAGATCTTTAGTTTAAGGTCAAATACTGGCTTCACTATTAGAAGAAGGGTAACAATCCCATTTGCAGTTAGTTTGCTTTGATCCTGTATTAATTCAATATGGAATGCTTGGTTAATAATTCCTACTATAATCAACCAAACAAACAATTTTGTTAGACACATTTACCAGAAAAGGAAATCACCCAGATCTGGCTTTAAGAGTCTCCTCCACTACCAAAAGCTCTGGTATTGATGCCATCAACATTCCCACGCTGGAACTCGGGCTCAGTCAATACCCATTACACAACAGAATCCCTCCTGACTGACTGGGTACTTTTTCAAGGTGGAAAAGCACTCATCTCCTGAGGAACAATCCAGGAAGTCAACTTGACTTCATATTTTTTCTTGAAAAAACAAAGTTGATCATAAGCTTCACATAATCAAGGTATACAACTTTGAGCTGTTTCATGTTTGCAAAAAGATGGACTTATAAAACTAGTTAGATTCATGCCTTTCAAAAAAAAATTCATGCCAGCCTTCTACAGATTTAGAGAAAATAAAATACAAATAGAGAATACATTTTACAGTTACATGATTCAAAGGTGCCATCTGCTGGTTCTGTCTAGGAATAATACTCCAGTAAAACTGATTTATATCTAGAAGATAGAAATGGTGAAGCATTAAAAAAAAAAAAAAAAAGAGCACACTACAGTATCCTTACAAAGGAACAGAGTTCATAAATGCCGTACTCCTTCACTGTCATACCATCTGGAATCCTTCTGCGTCTGGAGCAATGGCGTGCTTACGCTCTCTGGTAACTATCAATCTGAGTTGGGCACTTTCTTTTTACTGCTTATGCTAAAATCCTGATTTGTGGCTCAGCCTTAGAAAGAGCAAACAATGTTGACAGACAGAATTTGTGTCCTCTCTCGTTCTTGGTTGCTTTATTGCTTTACCCTTTGCTTCATCTTTCTCACTTGCTTCTCATTTTGTGTGTGTGCATACATGCGTCCATGTCTGCCTCTGTCTTCTCTCAATCCACCTTAAATCTTTATTTGAGACAAAAAGAAGCAGACATAACGAAATCTCTAGTTCGATCTTAAGTGGGGGAAAACATTAACAAGGGAACTAAATTGAACTTTGAAAACACAACTGGTCTTAAGGCAGCATTGTTATCTGTCTTTTTTTATTTTTTTCAAAAGTACCCTTTATTCCTGGACAGCATTCAATTTCTTTCTTTTTTTTTTTTTTTTTTTTTTTAAGATTTATTTATTTATTTGAAGGTCAGAGTTACACAGAGAGATGGAGAGAGAGAGAGAGAAAGAGATCTTCCATCCACTGGTTCACTCCCCAGATGACCCCAAGGGCTGGAGCTGTGCCGATTCAAAGCCAGGAGCCAGGAGCTTCTTCCAGGTCTTCCATGCGGGTGCAGGGGCCCAAGGACTTAGGCCATCTCTACTGCTTTCCCAGACCACAGCAGAGAGCTGGACTGGAAGTGGGGCAGCCGGGACTAGAATCGGCACCCATATGGGATGCCGGCACTGCAGGTGGCGGCTTTACCTGCTACGCCACAGCGCCGGCCCTTATCATCTGCTTTTAAAGATTGTTTTGCAGACAAACCAATGCAGAAAGCAATCATAAAAGGCATAACTGAGTGGGGGCCAGTGCTGTAGCACAGTGGGTTAAGCCATTGCTTGTGACACCTGCTTCCTATTATCAGAGTGCTGATTCAAGGCCCGCCTTTCCAATCCAGCCTCCTGCTCATGTGCCTGGGAAGTGCTTGGACCCCTGCCACCCACAGGGGAGACCAGGATAGAGTTCTTGGCTCCCACAGCCATTTAGGGAGTGAATCTATAAATGGAAGATATCTAACACTCTTCCTTTGAAATTAATATCTTTAAAAAATGCATGACTGAGTGAAAGGGGCTCGTTATAGCACAAAGTCAGAACCCCAAATCTCAAAACACACCACAAAATGAGGTGTAGAGAACAACTGATCTGGCACCTGTCCTTTGGACATGCTTGTGAGGATACTCCTGATACACAGCACTTCTTTTTCCAACACGTGCTTGTTATAAAAGTCTTTTGTCACCTTCCATCAGTTTCAGAAGTAGTATACCTTTCTAGTTGATTCTGCACCTGCTGGATGTGCCACTGAACCTAATGGGTGCTATAAAATGTACCCAAATGTAAAGTCTCCATTTTTGAGATCATGTTAGGCAGTCTTACCTAATGTCTTCGTCTGTGACAATGAAAGCTTTGCAGAGGGGTTGAGATGTGTTGAGCCAGACAGCGGGGTTCTTTTCCACAGCAGCAGAGACTTGCCCTGTGATTGGCGCAGAGCTTGTGTGCAAAGCACTGGCAACAGCAGATAAAAGGGTCTCATCATTACTACCTGGACCAACTCCTGCAATTAGAAATTTGCATGAATGACAGGAAATGCTTAATGTGCTGGACAAACCTCACATGATCTGAAACAACTGATACTGTTATATTCATCTAGGATCATGTGCTTAAAACTGATGTAAGCCAACCCAACAAAGGATAATATCATCTCCACTTCATAGATATTATACACCAAAAAATTCACATTGAGGAAATAGTAGTGAAAGAGATGATCATTTTAATAAAACTTTAATAGAATTTTAAAATATATTTTCCAAGGTACTAAACTTTAGAAAACCAAAGTCAATTATTCAATAATCTAAAGTCCATTGTAAAGCCATTACATTATACTCAAGCCTCCCTATTAATGTATCCTGGAGTAATTTCTTCTTGTAGCTCCTAACATTAATTTCCAGTGATATCTCAACACTATAATCTTCTTTGTTTCAGGACTTCAAAGGAAGAGTCAATGAAAGCATGCTGTAGTTGCCTTTTTAGCAGCTTTTTCAAAGACCTAACAAAATCTCCATAGAATTAATAACTGCACACCTGAACTGTTTGTAGGAGACTGGCACCACAGTCAAATTTAAATGTATTGCTTAAAGCATTACATTTGTTGAACTCATTAAAACAGTAATTTCCAAGAACATAAAGGGATGAGAGAATAGTCTAACTATGACTTATAAAGATTTTTGAGCAATCCATGATATATCAAGATTTAGAAGCCAAAGTTCTAATACTTGGAAAAATGCCATCTGAAATTCCACCCCAGAGCCCCCTACTGGGGTGGTTACTAGACCAATGTGCATCTATTCCAACTGCTACCATCAGAAGGAGAGCCATCAGTGTTCTTTCAGGAAAAGGATGAGAGAAGACCAAGTGCTGGGTCCAGGTGCTGCAGTGAGCAGGCAGCTTGAAAAAACCTGCTGCCCACCTGCAACCTGTGCTGAAGGTAGCACAGGGCTAACTTAGATGATGAGCCTACAGCCAACATTTTTATCCAGAAAAAAAAAAATCTACAGTAATAAACTACCCTAAGGTATTCCTGCAACACACAAGTTTTTCATGCATATTTCCCCTGAGTATACTACAACACAAGAGATACACCATAAAGCAAGGCATAGGAGCCCTAAAGGCAAAGACAATTCTGAATCCACAGCATCAACACAAGTGCCTGGCACACAGTAGGTACTTAATAAATATCTGCCCAGCTGAACTTAGATAATACCTTGAAGACCTTTAGGTAGTTCCATGGTTTTTATAATTTGTTCTGTTACATCTGATGCACTAAGTCCTTGTAGCCTCTTCTCCCAGAAAAGCTGTAAGGCAAAATACCACTGTTAATGGATACATCCTTAAAACAAGAAAGTAGCGCATCGATGCTGTTGAATCATGAAATTTAAATCATTTTAGTAGTTTCCTATAATTTATTTCTTCTAACAAGAAGCTAAATGATACTCCAAACATGAATTATTTCAACACATCATAATTTTTTCAGATGACACTACTCGAAAGATGTTTTGTCTTTTTGTGCAACTTATTTGTTATAGTATTACAGATGCTGTATGCTATATATATGGCTCTTTGTAAAGTATCTTCCAAAGAATATAATTTGAATTTTTCAAAGACTCATTGGCATGAAGTTTTCATGTTAAAACTTATCAGGGAAGATAGAAAATAAGCAATAGTATATATTACATCCTTTATCCAATAACATTAGGGAAAAAAACTACTTCACATATGTGATTTTTTTTCCAAGACACTGAAATTCAGCACATCAGCACACTTTAGGGGGAAAAAAAGACCACTTAACTACAGAAACTTTCCAACCAATCTTAGCACGGCCTTGCTTCCTAAGTGATCTCACACTCATAAGTGACTTTTTCCCTGTTGCACAGGGCCTAGGTTACAACAGTCACTCACTTGATGATCACAGATCATCATTCTAGGCTCTGGTGAGCACACAGAAAAGTTCTTCATGCCTTAAGAGTCTACCAAGAGATAGAACTGTTCATTCAAACAATAGAAATTCCAAGACAGTTATGCTTTCTTATTTTATATTTTTATGCTTTATCCTCTTTCCTAGTTAGCTATTATTTCTCATTAATGTCATTCACCCATTCAACACATATTTATTGAGCTCCTACTATGTGTTGTGCTGCTTGTCCTGTGGATGCAACAGTCAAAAACGTACATATTGTCCTTGCCCTCAAGCTTCCTCTCTTTTCTAGTCTGCTTCTTATTTGTGCAGATAAAAGAATACTCCAGGACTCTGTCTGCCTTTAATCCTGGGTGCCAGGGCCTGGCACAAAGCTGGTACTGAAGAAAATATTTGTGTGAATGAAAATGGGACCAACTGGCCTTGGCCCGAAAACCTGAAGGACACACAAAGTCATGTTGAAATCCCAGATCTGACACCCACTACATTCAAGAGGAATGATGTTGGCCAAGGTCTAACACCTCTTCAGAAGCTTCAATTTCCCCTTCTGTGGCAGCAAGGGCTATCAAACAAGACTACTTTGAGCATTAAATAAGGCACCATATGTACAGCACCTGTCAGATAGTAAGCATAAGGTCCACTGTTCTTACTCACAGCAAATTTTGGCTACTCTAAAGAATGTCTGAAGGAAGGGCGTATATTCTGACATCTGGATGTATGTAACGTATCAGATCACAGCCCTCCAGACAAATGAGGAGACAGAGAAGTATAATTCTAGTTATGGCAGAATAGTAATATGTTGGATTTATAACAACCTCAACACCGACACCCAGAGTAACCTGCAACAGAATGCAACATTCTCCTCTGATGACCTTTGGTATGGCATCTCCTTATGTCTCCCCAAACTCTCATCATTCAAGAACAGGTCAACAGTAAGAAGACATGAATACATCCATCATCATGGATACAAGCAGTTATATAAAGGTAATACTGATGAATGTGATAAATGACCCAAGAAACTGCCTGCTTTCTTTTCACCCTATAGTAAGCTAATGAATAGCACAGCTGTAGAAAAAAAGAAGGAAAATAAAACCAAATTAAATTTATAATGAAAAATATCTAGGGGAACTGTTGAGTATAAGATTAGTAAATGCTTTTCACATATATACACATACTAAAGGTATGTATGAATATGTGGGATGTGGGGGAGGTGTGTATGTAAAATCTGAAAAAAGGGGCCAGCACTGTGGTGCAGTGGGTTAACGCCCTGGCCCGAAGCGCCAGCAACCCATACGGCTGCCGGTTCAAGGCCTGGCTGCTCTACTTCCGATCCAGCTCTCTGCTATGGCCTGGAAAAGCAGTGGAGTATGGCCCAAGTCTTTGGGCCCCTGCCCCCAAGTGGGAGACCTGGAAAAAGCTCCTGGCTCCTCGCTTTGGATAGGCACAGCTCCGGCCGTAGCGGCCATTTGGGGAGTGAACCATCCATCAGATGGAAGACCACTCTTTCTCTCTGCCTCTCCTCTCTCTGTGTAACTCTGACTTTCAAATAAATAGATAAATCTTTTTTAAAAAATGAAAGAAAAAATCAACACTACTCAAAAAAAAAAAAACACACAATAGCACGGGAATCACTTTCAGGTATAACTGTTGATATTTTATATCTAAAACTCCAATTCTAGATATTAAAACTTTTTTTAGATTTCATTTTTAATTCTTACATTTTTCAGTTAGAAAGAATATGATGAAAAAAAATTTGTAAAATTCTGCAAAATAAATTCTGGATTGAAACACAGGTGTACGGCTCTAAACTACAAGCCTGGAACCCTCACATGTCAATCAGCCACCATAAACTCCACTGAAGTCAGAATCTGATACGTGTAATGCCTTCCTTATGGCAGAGGATGTTAGAAACCAAGACTGTGCATGCGTTCTTTCAATGGTCAATGTACCATCTTAAGTTTAGAAGCAGAAAGAAAAAAAAAAAAACAATAGAATGCTTATGTCTGAAAATTAAAGTATTAAAAAATTCATGCATGCGCCCTGTCAATGTGTTTGTGTGTGTGTGCATGCATGGGTCCCTCCCTCAACCCCACCCCTTCCCCAGGGAGACAAGGGGTGTGGGAAAGGTCAAAGAAGGAAAGAAAACTAGTTTATGAAAACATTTAAGGGGTCAAGGTCACTTCCTTTTCATCCTTCTGGTCACTGACTGAAAGCTAATTAGCTGACCTAATTTCACTGAGAACAGAAACAGTCCTTATGACATAAATGTCTGTTTACACTACTATGTTCCTAACTCATTTTTTCTCTATATTCACCTCCTCAGATTCTTCCTTGTTTTATTTGGGTTCTTCTAGAAGAAGGGCTGCTTTGCATTTTAAAATATGAGAGGTCTTCAAAAAGTTCATGGAGAATAAACATTATTTTAAAACTATGCATGGACTGCGAAACATTTTTATATCAAACTAATCTTTTAATTCCATTTTCTTTTTTCTTAAGATTTATTTACTTATTTGAAAGGTTGAAAGGCAGAGTTACAGACAGAGAGGGAGAGGCAGAGAGAGATCTTCCATCTGCTGGTTTACGCCCCAAATAGCTGCAACAACCAGGGCTGGGTCAGACCAAAGCTGGGAGCCAGGAGCTTCTTCTGAGTCTCTGACGTGGGTGCAGGGACCCAAACACTTGGGCCATCTTCCACTGCTTTCCCAGGTGCATTAACAGGGAGCTGGATTGGAAATGATGCAGCCAAGAATTCATAGGTGCCCATATGGAATGCAGCATTTCAGACTGCGGCTTAACCCTCTATGCCACAGTGCTGGAGCCAGGAGCCGGGAGCTTCTTCAGGGTACTTCTTCAGGGTACCATGTGGGTGCAGAGGCCCCAAGCACTTCCAGGCACATTATCAGGGTGGAGCAACCAGGACTTGAACTGGCGCCCCTAGGGGATGTTGGCGCCGCAGATGGCGGCTTTACCCACTGAGCCATAACATTGGTCCCTTTAATTTCATTTTCTATAAACTTTTTGAAGTATTCACATACAACTTAAATGTACATTGTGCTAGGTGGGGAAAAAAGGCAAAGCTATAAAGATAGTAGCCTGGTGCTGGGGTGAAAGGAGGCTCAATGACAAATGATCAGCACAAAAGACTTCTTTAGGGCAGTGAATCTGTACTGTCTTTGAATAAATGCAAACTCTATCCAGCTGCGACAATGACCACTGTCTTTTTCTTCCCAACCCCCTCCTAAGAGGATGATCAACACATGCTCTCTTGCCCCCGGCATTTCAACACCATGATCCCATTCCGCCTTCCCATCCAATATTCACTCCATTTACTCTAAAAGTCCTCCACTGAATGCCTAAGTTTAAAATTTCTAGATCCACTCAGTTATGAACTCCAGATTTTACCTGGATGATTGTATTCACCTGCATTACTCCGCCACCCATGAGAAGTCCAAAGACAGTAATAATAATAATAATAATAAAAGAGGCTGTTTAAATTTGAAAGGAGGTCCCTCTATAACAGCTACTTAGTCTCTTCCACCACACGTCACCACAAGTCATAAACACTGCTGCTGTCATAAAGCCTCAACTACCCACCAAGTATCTGAATTCAGTAACTAAATCCAACGAGTTTTCTCAACTTAATCGTGCTGCCTGGTGTGAGGCCAAATAATAAATAAATAGAATGCTTATAGTTAACAGTGAATTTATATTTGGAAAAAAAAAACCCTAAGATGCCATCACCATAAGTTTTTTCCTCTCTCTCTAATCTCCATCAACCAGACCATGTAAGTGCCTGAGTACCTTGCTCTCTTTGTCCCTCGAGTACAGCAGAAGTTGGGCAGTTCCTCCATGTGCTTCACCTTCCGCTGCCATTAGGCTGGGCAACGCCTCATCCAGTAAACCGGCTGACTGCGGGAGATGCCCAGGATGGCGCTAAAAGTCATCCAGAGCAAGTGACTGCTCCACCAGCGACAGGGCAGCACCTCTGAGGAAACCATCTTACCAGTCACTGGAGCTCACCTCTGCACCTTGACTTCACAGTCTCCTTACTTAGCAGGCACACGCGGGACCCCCAAACAGCACAGCTACGTGTGCTTTATCCGTCTTAGTACAGCCCAGAGGACAACCAGGACACTGTGTTACAAAAGCTGCTTCTTCAGTGACGTGAATGATTAAGTCTGTTTAAAGTAAAACTAACCCAGAACACAACTGCAGCATTTTAGTTTCTTAACTGCTGTGGATTTAACTTGGGCGCTGGAGGATTTGTTGGATTTATGAAAAAATCTAAACAACAGGATGATGACGAAGCAAGTTCACAACCAACTCCTCGCAGCCATACACAAACAGGTGCCCCTGTTCCGATGCTCTGGGAACTGGGGT